TGTCCATTCATGGGTCATTGACCCTTTAGGCAAACCCTTTTGGGTACAATTTAATTTTTGCATTATTTTAAAGTAATGTCGTGCTATTATTTGTAAGTTGTTTTATTATGCTCTTTCAAAGTTCTTGCATATAATCTTGTACTCAATAAAGTCATTCAAATCAAATCAAAATAATCTGCAACAGGTTGGATCAGCTGAACAACAAGGGCGGAGCATCATGGGTATATCTTAAGGGCTGTATCTAACATTTAAGGGTGTGTCCCTTTGGGTGTGTCTGCCAGAACTACCCACCACTTTTATTGAATGCCAGTAGTCTTTACTCTATCCTGGAATTCTACTTAACATTTTCCAGCCATTTTGAAAGAGTTACATTAAGGGCACAGCTAGCTGTACATTAGGGGCGTGGCTCTTTGGGCGTGTCTGTCGGGCACTACCCACCACTTAAATTGTCTGTCGTTGGTCATTCTAGCTTCCTGGGACTCTAAGGAACATTTTCCAGTTAGTTTTTTAGGGTTAACTTTTGGGGCATGCTAGCTGTACATTAGGGGTGTGGCTCTTTGGGTGTGTCTGCCGGGCACTACCCACCACTTAAATTGTCTGTCGTTGGTCATTTTACTTTCCTGGGACTCTAAGGAACATTTTCCAGTTATTTTCTAAGGGTTAACTTTTAGGTCCTGCTAGCCGGATTTCCACCCCCTATAAATCAGGGTCTGCCGGCCACACCCCACCACTCAATTTGTCTGTCAGTATCCATTTAGTATACCCGAGGCCATGCTGGAGGACCCCCAATAGGTTTCTAAGGGTTCCCCTAAAAAGTCCTGCTAGCTGGATTTGAGGGGTCTATGTTTTGGACCCCCCTGACCACACCCACCACTGGAAATACGGCAGACTGCCATTTTCATACATAGGTAACCATGTAGGTCATTGCCAGGTACAAGAAAATTGGTGATCTTTCCGGGCATGCTCAACCCTCTGGGATCCCGCTCTATAAAGCGATAGCAGTGACGTGATTCCTAGTCAGATGACCTCAGATGCTACACCAAGTTGACTACATTTTTTTTCGGGGGGGTGGGGGGTCGATTTCTGAAAAAAAGCACACCAATGGACCTTTCTTGAAATTAGAAATGTGAGTCGCTGAAATATCAAAAATTTTCCTGGTCCAGCAGCGGGTCCCGAACACTACGCCAGGGGGGGGGGGGGTTTGGGGGGTTTGAGAGGTCCGGCTTCGCATCCATTGGAATAAAGTTTGTCATCCTCGAGGTCCGAGACTATGACATTTTGATAGGTGTCATATCGGGTGCCAATAATGAAATACTGCAAACAGTTAAGTTACAGTTTCGCTTTTGATTGCTTTGCTGCTCTCTTTCTGAGCTCCCGGCGGAGAATCTTTCCACTTGGAGACTTTGGTATTTCAGTGACGAATTCCACGCCGCCCCGTAGACGCTTGTGGGGCGCCAAGTGCTCTGGAAGGAGTAGAAACGACGCAGGTAGATACGTCACAAACAATTTATTAAATCTCTTTTAACAGGTAAGGGAGAGAACTTCAAGGCGACTTCATTTTTATGTACAGTGTTTGTTCACTGATATATACGCGTTTTCTAATTGAAATAATTTGAGCAAACTATCAAACATTCTCACTTGCGACGAAATCGGATATATCTTGAACAGTAGCCGTGACGTCATGTTTTAATATGACGTAAGCTTTGGGCAGCTCGCCCGCTATCTCATCTGGGACTCCAATTACAGCTACGTCAGCAACAGCAGGGTGGGTGTGGATCAGGTGTTCAAGTTCTGCAGGAGCCACCTAGCGATACATTTTCAGACTATTTACAAAAAGAGAAATGAGAACAAAGAAAATTCGGTTTGAAATCACAAGCGGCTGGACTATATATGTGTTAGCATTACTGTAAATGAAAGTTGCTAAAAGGATCGGGGGCTGAATCATAAGTTTTGTGTAAGAACGCTCCATGAATCCACTTACAGCATAATTTTCATATACTGTGAAGTAATCTTCTGTCTTACCTGAAATCCCTTGTATTTAATGAGTTCCTTTAGCCTGTCTACCACATAGAAATATCCTTCTTCGTCATAATTCCCAACGTCACCTTAAAGAACATCGATCAACATCTTGTTAATATTTCCAACCGCATATAGAGCCAATTAAATCTAGTACCATCTTAAGTCTGTGATAACAAGTCAATAATCTTATAATATTCTTGGTTTTGCAAATATCATCAAAAGTGAAAGTAAAGTGGCAACTTTATCCTAATCTGCTCGTTCAAAATCTAAATGCAACAAGAGATTGTAAAAACCTGTGTGAAACCACTCGTCTTTGTCAATACATTCAGCAGTGGCTTGAGGAAGGTTGAAGTACCCTTTCATCACTTGGGGCCCACGGAACCAGAGTTCGCCATCTTGATTGGCACCAAGAACCTGTTTGGTTTCCGGGTCCACTACCTGGGAACAGATTATTTCTTTTATTAAGTTGAAAAATCAGTTTGTGTCCTGTTATATAAACGATTTAAAGAATATCGATCCCTCAATGTTAGAGTTAACGCCTTCATTGGTAGCTACTATTATATTTATACATATTCCTTCCATGTGTAAATATATCCGCTTCTTCATATAATACAATTTATTCATCAAGTTTAAAATTAAACACGTCAGTCACCTGTGAGTTTTTGATTTTTACTATTTTCTCTTAGACATTTAGGGCGTATTCCCAGAGCTTTTAGATCGATCTATCCCCGCGGGGAGTCTCACTAGATTACTGTCCGATAATCCGGCTTAAATGTCCGTCCCGCCTACTACAAGCTGTAAGGGGGTAATTAACTTTCGTGCCCGCTCGGCTAACAGCTATTTAGCGTGAACCCCCAGGGAGTTAGGTCGATCTAGTTTGGATCGATCTAATCTCTGGGAATGGGGTCTTAGAATGAGATAGCTGAAGCTTTGGGGATTCTGATGCTATCAATTAAGTTTACTCTCAAAAATTAGATGTCAAAGGTATCCTGGAGATGGGCTTCTGTGGGGGAGTGCAGACATATGGCTACCCATTTACGTCACCTACTTTTTTTACGCCAAAACCAGGACAGCTCCTGATTTTAAAATAAATTCCAAATTTAGATTCCTCCTGTCCATTATTTTAAAATTGTTTGTCACAGCATTGCTAACAGCATGAGAATTTTTTAATTTGGCCTACTTTGCATTCCGTATCTGGCACCAGTATTCCACAGGATCCAGACTTTCTTGGAAAGCAATTGACTCTAGGGGGTGCCAGCAACGCGCTACTCTCAGTAAGGCCATACCCTAAAATACATATATTTTTCATAAGTGTATTTTTATGTTGTTTTAAATGTCCAAATTTCAAAGATATTTTAAAAGAGTTGATAAAGCCCCCCTTTTACACTGGACGGCATCCATTCTGCGCCACGTAGTACGGCCCCGTTTGAGAGTAAAAAAAAAAGACTTTACATGCTGACAACTGGCCGATCATTGAGGATTAATTTTGCAACCAAAGCGATGTTTGTGCCTCCTTTCTACGACCACAGCGATGCCAGATGCATGGTCTCACAAAGGACGCAGAAAGGACGCCGTCCAATGTAAAGGGGATTTAACTATGCACTGGCTGAGATTAAGTCAAGAAAACATTGCTTTTAAGACAATGACAAATATATTTTCGGTAATATTGCAGCTTTCTTTGATCAGCTGCAAGTTAAGAATTCACAACAATACTTCTAAGTAGCCATAACAAATACTTATAATGCGTTACAAGAACCTGAAATAAATAAGAGAGGGTATCTGAAATCTTTTTTTTTTTTTTTTTTTTTTTTGAGAAATGATAAGAACAATGTTATATTATCATTTTCAAAAGTATTACAAGTACCTTGTCCAATGGATATTCCTAGCCGTTTCCGTATGGCGATCTCTGTATTCTTTCCCAGTGAGGCCGCCCCACTTCGAATGTCTCGAACACAAGAAAGGTCATACTTATCTACCAGCGGGTTCTTTGCCAGATGAATAACTATAGGGGGCACGCAGTGCAAGACGCTACCCTTGGAGCAGAAAGTGAAAGTGAAACTGAAAGTACGTTTTGTTAATTCCATTGATTTAAAAATGCTAGAATAGATAATGCTATATGTGAACCTATATCTGGGAGTCAAAGGTCGAAACATACTGTCCTCTGTTTATACAGCGATAACATTAAACTGAGATAGTGTTTTGGATATTAGTTTGTAATTTCGCTGACCCACTTAATGCAAATCTTTACGTAACTTTGTGCTCAGACCATAATCAATACATGTACCTCTAATTTCCATAAAATGGTATTGAACAAGGGACAACCACCAGTATCATATCAATACCAAAGTATAAACTAAGGTGTCATCTTGTTTTCCAGAGCCGAGATTCCATTTAAAGTCGCAGCGACCAAAAAAATACAAAATCAGTATTTAGAAAAAGCGTTAAGCAATCCCAGCAGGTTAGAGATGGGTGCCTATATTACAAGAGTAGTATATTGTTACAAGCTATACGTTTCTTAAACTGCGAAGTTGTACGTTTGGGTTGTGAGGGGCGGAAAACCAGGGAGGGTGAGAATTGCCGCTCGTGCACGTCAAAAGCGAATAAAAAAAGCGTGCAAAAGCCAGACATACACAGCTTAAAAGCCAAACTTCGTTAATTAAATATGATGCACGGACACACGCACATTAGGAGACCAACATGGATTCATCAAATTTCTTTCCATTTTGCCATGGTTGCACTCAAAATTAGGGAGACTCACGTTGAACAAAAATGTACTCTACTTAAAAACGATCTGCTCTTCTAACAAACTACATGTTTATTCTTGGCCACAATTCCAAAGGGAACGGTAGGGTGAACCTCCTCGATTGTCACAATGGTGAGATGTCTAATCTGTTAATTCTAGACGGCCACAGTTATTCCAAAATGTGAACGAAGTGTGCAGTGTAAGACCCTAGTGAACGTCGTGCCACCAGTGTGACAGGAATGCCAGTCATAGGAATGGAAGTCCGGGGCCCCATATGATATGTGCAGGTTAGGGTTAGTTGGGGTATTGGGGTTAGTATATGGAACGAATATCCCCTGAACATATAATGAGGACCGGGCTATGGTTCCCAGCGTACATCCATTCCTGTAATACCGGTGTCACGAAACAGAAAGTCCGCCCTCCATATGGTTATAATGGTTAGGGTTAGTTTGACCTAAGTAGGTCAAAATCTAGGGCTGGGCTCACCTGTACAAATGAATGGGAAACGGACTCTCTGTCATGGGGGACTTTCTGGTACATGACATCGGGATAATATGTGCAGCCAGAGCTGCGGAGGAGAAAAGAATGAGTGCCAAGTTTGATGTGACAACTGGCGCCACCACGATATGGGGTTATTGGAAAGGAATCCGTGGCAAGGCTGGGGGTGGGGGGACGGGGTTCCAAAAGAACCGCCTTTTTGGCTAGAAAAGGTCCGCTCTGAATCAAAAATTGATCTTGGCTCTATGATATGCGTTGGGCTGGGTCAACGTAAGTTAATTTTTTATTTCAGAAAAGATATCCCTTCCTTTGAAATTTCTGTCTACACAGACAGTTCAGTGGATCGCTGTTTCGTTACTTATCAATTTGTGTGCAATCTAAACCCAGTGTCCATTCATTCACAATAAGGATAAATGGCAGTTCAATTTATTATCTTTATATAGAATTTAAACATCTCGTCTAATATGCCGTCATTAAAAAATACAGTATCAATACATTGTATGCATCCCTTGGAATAAAGTTTGTTGTCTTCGAGGTCCGAAACTATGACATTTTGATAGGTGACACATCTGGTGCCAATAATAATAATAATACCGCAAACAGTTTAGTTACAGTTTCGCTTTTAATTGCTTTGAGGCTCTCTTCCTGAGCTCCCGGCGGAGAATCTTTCCACTTGGAGACTTAGGTATTTCAGTGACGAATTCAACGCCGCCCCGCAGACGCTTGTGTGGCGCCAAGTGCTCTGGAAGGAATAGAAATGACGTGGATAGATACATCACAAAAAAATTAATTTTTTTATCATTTTTAGAGGTTAGGGAGAGAACTTCAATACCAGTTCAATGTTAAGTACAGTGTTTGTTCATTGATATGTAAGCATTCTCTAATTGGAATAAATTGAGCAAACTATCAAATGTTCTCACCTGCTACGAAATCGGATATATCTTGAGCAGTAGCCGTGACGTCATGTTTTAATATGACGTAAGCTTTGGGCAGCTCGCCCGCTATCTCATCCGGGACTCCAATTACAGCTACGTCAGCAACAGCAGGGTGGGTGTGGATCAGGTGCTCGAGTTCTGCTGGTGCCACCTAGCGATACATTTTCAGATTATTAACTTAAAAAGAAATGAAAACAAAGTAAAGTCGGTTTGAAATCACGTGCGTCTGGACAATATGTGTATTAGCATTGCTGTAAATGAAAGTTGGTAAAAGGAACGGGTACTGAATCATAAGTTTTGTATAAGAACACTCCATGAATCCACTTACAGCATAATTTCCATATACTGTGAAGTAATCTTCTGTGTTACCTGAAACCCCTTGTATTTAATGAGTTCCTTTAGCCTGTCTACCACATAGAAATATCCCTCTTCGTCATAATGCCCGATATCACCTAAAAGAACAACCATCTTGTCAATAATTCAAACCGCATATGGAGCCAATTAAAACTAGTACCATCTAAAGTCTGTGATAACAAGTCAATCTTATAATTTTCTTGGTTTTGATAACATCATCAAAAGTGAAATTGAATTGGCAATTTCGTCCTTAATAGCTGCTCGTTCTAAATCTAAATGCAGTAAGAAATTTTAAAAACCTGTGTGAAACCATCCGTCTTTGTCAATACATTCAGCAGTGGCTTGAGGAAGGTTGAAGTACCCTTTCATCACTTGGGGCCCACGGAACCAGAGTTCGCCATCTTGATTGGCACCAAGAACCTGTTTGGTATCAGGGTCCACTACCTGGGGATATATTCTCTCATGTATTACATGTAACAGCTGACAAATAAAAAAGTGCACCCTGTTATATTTGTGATTTAAAGAATATGGATTTCTTCAATGTTAAAATTAACGTCTTCAGTTGGTAGCTACTTTAGAATTCTTTTATTTCACTCGCTATCTAGTAGTTTTCATTTATTCGCCACTTTCTATTCATTTATTTATGTCAGAACTATAGTATAAAATTTCTTGATTAAAAAACATTTACGTGTTAAGATTTCCGTTTTCATAATTATGAAAACATTACGAAAATGATAAAACCGCGACAGATTACGTGTTCACGCCCTTACTTTGCTTTCTGTATTTGGTACCAGTATTCCTGAGGAACCAGACTTTCTTGGAAAGCAATTGACCCTAGGGGGCGCTAGTACAACTGGGCTTGTCTCAGTAAGTCCATAACCTCAAATATGTACGTATTTTGCATTACATGTACATATGCGTAAAATGTTATGTTACTCTTAAGGTTCAAATTTTAAATAACTATAAGCCCTCACTTTAAAATCAAATAACGCACTCGTATTCACTTGTCAGACAATGGCATTTAAGAAAATAACTTTAACAGATTAAGTATCAAATTGGTAATAAAAAAATACCCAGCAAAATCAAAATATTTCACAACGTTACCTTATGTTACCATAACGTTTTTTTTTTTTTTTTTTTTTTTTTTTTTTGCATTATAAAAACGTGATGGTAACATTATAATAGCATTTTTCTGGGTAGCAATGCGTCATTCAAAGTAGGTAAAAAAAGGAAGTGTATCTGAAATGTTTCAATTTACAAATACCTTGTCCAATGGATATTCCCAGCCGTTTCTGTATGGCAATCTCAGTATTCTTGCCTAGTGGCGCCGCCCCGCTTAGAATGTCTCGAACACAAGAAAGGTCATACTTGTCTACCAGCGGGTTCTTTGCCAGATGAATAACTATAGGGGGCACGCAGTGCAAGACGCTACCCTTGGAGAGGAAAGTGAAAGTGAAAGCAATTCTTTTGCAGATTCAATGATTATTTAAGTACACCTTCATAGTAATGTGTGTATTAATTCTTTGGAAGCTAAACAGTGTTACTTGATGTACACCTTTTACAGAGCGAGAGTACAAAAATGAAAGTAATCTGTTTTTATGGTTCCAATGAGATGGTCAATATGTTTGAATATATACCCGTCTGTAACTTTGCTTTTCAATTTGTGGAGCACTAATCATCTTAAATAATTGCGAATCTAATTTTAAAAAAATAAAGGCTACTGAAAATCAAAAGCCATAATTGTATGTTAAGTAGCGTATCCATCGGCAATTAATCCACAATTGAGATACAATTTGGTTTTCAAGAGCAGAGGTTCTAATAAAAGACGCAGCAACAAGGAAATACCAAGGCCTTTGTGATCTTCTTACAGTTCTTACAAATAAGCTGACGGTAATTACGGCGGCTGAGGATGGGCAATTTGCAAGATTAATTATTCTGCAATACGACGTTTCCATACTTTTCAAATCATTTTGGAAAATTGATGGAATTGGCCAAAAGAGACTAGACAGCAAACACAGAACGTTGTTATAACGTTACCATAACGTTTATGTAAACAAAAAACGTAATGGTAACGTCATGGAAACGTTATAAAACGTTCTGTGTTTCCCAGGTACTTGTACGTGTATAACTTGGGTACAAAGCAATGAGGAAAGCACGTTGCCCATCGACTTACTCTGAATCTACTAGTAAGTTCCACGTATTCAGCAAAGTGATATCTCCTCATGGTAACGACCCTCGCCCCCTGCTCTATCCCCTTGAACACTATCTGCACCATGCCGTAGATGTGATAGAAGGGAAGTGCGCCTATAAAGCTGTCCTTGCCTGGAGTGACGGAAGCATAGATCCCGGAGTCGCTGGAGAAAAAGAGGGCGCTAGATGTACCGCTCTGTTTAGTTGTAGTGGCTTTTGGTCAAGCGTCAATAGTCCAGAGAGTTAGTAAGAGTGCTCTAACCATCGAGTCACCGTATAAAACGATTGGCGAAAAAAGGGTAACCTCCTCCTTCGCCTTTCTTTTTTAAAATTTATTTTGGGGGGAGGGGGGTTGCAGAGGTTGGAGGATGTAAATGACTTTGATCAACACTTGATTCAACGCAGGTAGCCAGCATCAACAACAAGCCACCGGAGATGAAGCAGTAAAGAATCACAGCAAAGCACGGCCCCATTTAAGCAAGAAACGGTACAACTTTTGCTTCTCCTCGGAGGACGACTACGGCTCACGTGACCAAAATCAAACAAGCAGACAAAATTTTCAGTGTACACATTTTAAAAGGCGCAAGGATATACTCAAAATTTGCAGGGATACAGAATGGTTGCGTGACGCTGAAGAAATCACTACATCCACACTGGGACAAAAAAAATCAAATCCAACAACCGATTGTAAGGAGTGTTGGTACACGTACTGAAACACTTACTTTATTTTCGGTAACTATCTTCAGATAGGAATCAAGGTGGAATTTTCTCACGGTCACCACCTTCAGGCAAAGTCGCAGTCCTTTAAAGAGAACGCTGGTCAAGCCAAAGATATGGAATACCGGCAGCACGCACACGTAACAATCCTCTCCAGGCGTCACGCGCGTCTGTATGTACGGGTTGCTAGGTGGGGAATGAAATCAAGAGATAAATGTCGCGTTAGAAGCGAATCCCAGACAAAAAGCATGCTAAAAACCAGACTTGCGCAGCTGAAAGGGTTGAATTTCTTGCAAGCATACACCACAATTGGAAACAATCACGGGTTCAATTTTTGTTGCGATTTGCCATGCCTGCACTCAAAATTTGGGCGACACGTTCAGCATAGGCCAATGTCCACAGCAAACCCCTTGAACTGGACACTTACTTTATACTTGGTTACAATTTCAAGGTACGCAGGTAAATGAAACGTCCTCATTGTCACAATGGTGAGATATCTGTAAAGCCCTGTGAGGAGGATCACAGTTAAACCAAAGCTGTGAAAAAAGGGTAGGACCCCTATGAACGTTGTACTGCCGGGAGCGACGGTAGAATATAAGCCGTCCGAACTGTGGAGGAGAAAGAAACGAGGGCGTCATTTAACTCCGTCAAGTGTCACGTGACAACTGTTAATCCACGTCATGATATGGTGGGTGGTTGGAAAGGAAACCGAAGCGGTATTGACGAGCGTGCATCATGATAGATTTAAGAAAGAAGAAAAAAAAAACGACCCATTCTTAAAATTTTAATGCTGTAAATAATGTAATTTCATGTAATATTATTGCAACTAGCACTATTCATTTTTGTTTCATAGGCTTTTGCACAATATAAAACTATGGTCGGTGAGGGTATCTTTTTGGTCGGATATTTTGAAATATTCAAAGGGTTCATTCCGATTTTATAATAAAGCATTCTTCTTATGGTAATGTATTGGCCCGTTGCTGCAAAAAGTATTAAACTAGAGATCGTCACTAAACTAGATCAAGAATGTAGGAAAGATTTTTTCTTCTTAATCAGGAGATCAATTTTGGTCTATATTTCATGCAGAAAATGGCCTGGGAAGGCCACAAAATCCGCAAAAAATGGTGAGAAAATCCCACCTGCGCTCCCTTCTCACAATATTTTTGAACTAATCAGCGCTGCAATTCTCGACAAAAAGTTACTTGAAGCACGATGAACCTATAGTTTATAAAGCTAGAGTATCAGAACCTACGCAGACCAGCTTTTTTCATTTTCAAATTATTTTACATGCGTCCGAACCACAGAGGTGCTAGATTGAAATTTACCTCGCCAAAACCAAATCTTTAACTACGTCACATTCCCGTTCCGGATAACCTAAGACGCTATATACGTAAATCTTTATTGGGTCCTAAGGATAAGTAAGTTAACCCTATGACAAGGTAGACTTCAACCAAACTTGCAGCTGAATGTACATGTAGGAGTTTTGTGAGCGTGCACAGAGAGCTTGCACAGCACAAAAAGTCAATTTTCAGCTCTTTTACTCTTCAGGAAATGGGTCTGAATATTCTCTTTACAAGCCTTTTCAACGGTGTAAAGCTCTACCGGAAAGATCNGTTGTAAAGGCCAGCTTGCACTGTTCCGACGTCATTCCGCGGGGACTGAAAAATCGGAAAGATTTGTTTTTGTGCTGTGTTGGGAAAGGAAGAAACTGGCACGCGTCGAACTTGATTGTAGACTAGTATATTTAAGACTGGGTTCCCATGCCTAGATCGATCTAACAGGATCAATCCATCTCCAAGGGGTTTCTCATTAAATAAATTTCAGTTTAAGTGGTTAAGATGTCTGGCACGCCTACTGAAGCTGCTAAACGATAGTTAATTACCCCCTAGCAGCTTCAGTAGGCGTGACAGCAATTTAGCGAGAATCCCATCTGAGATAGATCGATCCACAGTTTGTGCGATAGGGTCTGGGAATGGTCCCCAAGCCAATGGCAGAACCAGGCGTTAGCTTAATAGGCCATGTGTACCCTCCTCCACTTAGGTAGAAACCCCCTTCTCCCCAATTTTTCATCCCTTGATCCAACCCGTCACAGTGAAATTGGCTTCGTCTACTGTTACATATCTGCCGAAAGAAGCAATGCTATTTTTCCTTGTTGCCCACTCATCTCCAGTTAAATTCTGGATCCGCTCTTCTATACCGCAGTTTCAAATACTAATGTCACAATACTCACTCTATCTGCATCAGATTAGCCACCAGATTGTAGTGTGTTAACATGACGGGTTTGGGCATCCCTGTTGTCCCACTAGACGACGGTAGGATAGCCACGTCCTCACGTGTGTTAAATGGGACAAACGAGGGGAACGCTATGCCGTCGTCGTTGAGGAGAACGCTGAAGGGAAACGTGCCGGCAGGAGCATCGCCAACTACATACACCACCTTGACAAATAATGTGAATTTTCAGATTGATGATGACTGTCAGTTAGCTAAAACTATCATATTATCCATATCGCACATTAATTGAGTGTTTAATAATAAATACAAATCATAATCAAGTTTCCTTGTTAAATGAAGCACTATATTCAATATTTAGTACGAGTTTACATGGACTCGTATGCGTTTTTAGGTCACTTGCAAGAAAGACATCGACCATTATCAAGTTTTGGTGTGTAAGCAAATTAATTAATAACGTTTTGTTGTATTTTCACGCGCAGTGTGTCAGTCTTATTGCATTTCTCTCACCTTCAAGTGTCCTATTTCTCGCGCCGCGTCCTTCACCTTGCTGACGTTCTCTGGCACTGTCATGATGAACGTCGCTTTGGTGCTGCGAAGCTGGTATTCTAATTCCTCTGCAGAACAAAACAAATTATACATGATCTATCATTTTCTTAAATCATGCAGCGAGACGAGTTTCTCTCTCATTCTCTCAACTATTATTTTGAACTGTCCAAATCTTAGACATTTACACAACTAACTGATCACAAATTCTGATCTTCTTATTAAGTATAATATCGTTCAATAATAATTATAGCAATGATGTATTAGTTAGTAATAACTGTAGCCATGGGTCAACAAACAAAACCGCGCTGTTGGTCTTCTCGAAGGAGAGTCGAATATTTAAAACTTTTTTTTTTATAAATTAATAAAAGTACTATGACGTATTTGACAGTAGCTAGACACAGATTTAAGGAGCGTCCTTTACCCTCGGTGTAGAGTGGATTAACGGTAGTGACCACTCCACCAATGGCTAAAGCACCCAACAACCCGAAGGCGTACTCTGGCACATTGGGGCAGTAGATGTAGAACACGTCGTTCTTGCGGAGACCGGCTTTGAAGAGCCCGCTGCCTACTCGACGGACGTTTTGCAGGAGTTCTCTATAGGTGAACTGTTGCCCCGTCTCTCCATTTACCTAAATGAAAGGCGTCGTTTAAATTTTAAAGAAATTAGTAAGTTTACTGTCTTCAGTTATCTCAGGTTCTGTGTACATCCTGATCCTTTTCTTTTTTTTAACTCTATGGAACAACTAACGGGGGTTTGTTGTCGAAAGTCCCTTTGTTTTTTATATTTTAGTTAGCTTTAATAATCTGCATTGAAATGCAATAACTCAAAAGATTTTTGTTAGGGGAAATTAGCATGTGTTCCGAAAAATGCCCAGCTTAATACGAGATTTTTTTAAATAAGTTTTGAAATTGCGTTCTAGAAGACCCTAAAAACCGATTAAATTCACCTACTCCCCCACCCCTCCTACCCACTCAATCCACTTTTTCCTCCCAAAGCAGCAGAATGACATATAAGCCTATGGCAGGACACCGAATCGCTGATAAGAAGGTGTGCACTTCTTGTGAAATCAGCTTTAGTTTTGTCAGTGACCTAAATAAACTAATATGCCATGTGGAAATGCAGTGGCACGCTTTGCAGGTCGTTTGAACTATGCACAGTACACAGCTACACCCATAAAAAAGACATGGTACGTGTAGAGAGAGGTATGGGTGGAGGGGATGTTAAAACGCTGTTGCACTCGGAAAGTTTAACATTCCGGGGCACTGGGATTGGAATGGGAAATAAGAGGTACAATGAAATGCATATTAGCGCCGGGGTTGGGGGGGGGGGGATACAATGAAACACCTGTGGTTGGACGGGAATGGGGGTGGGGAGTGGTGGGTGGGGGGTAACGTTGTTACCAGTTCTTACCAGCGCCACTAAGTCTCCGTATTTCTCCGCATTCTGCAACACAAACTCTGCCAGTGACACGTTCTCCGGTATCTCCACTGAGGGGAGCTTACTCCTAACTACTCCCTGAGCGTTCGCCATGACTTCATTAATTTACACCTACCGCAGGCGAGGCGAAAAAATGCCGATTCATTCCCAGAGAAGAGAGACCTGGTGGGATTAACCTACGAGCTGATATCCCGGTTGATTTAACCTTGCTTCAGCAAAGAGAGACCGACTTCCAAGGTCGCGCAGATTTAGGCCTACTATCAGAAAATAAACAAAACGATCACACATGGCGGGGAAATATCAAGAGGGTATAATTAATGTAGGTTCGTGATGTGTTTGTGTGCGTTTGTTTCTACTGGCTACTGCTTTATATCTTTTAATTGAGCACAAGGATGGAAAATTTGATCGGAATAACCCTTGCAAGAAGCAACTTTTATTCGCCTCAAACCCTTCGCGCTGTTGTTGCGTTTGCTGCACTGCACATAGTTTTCTAGACAAGTGATCCGCGGGTGCTTCGCAAACACATTTGCCTTCGATATCTCTTTTCGCGCACCTACAACAGTTATAGTATTTCTTTTTAAAACCCCAGTTACTTAGATATCTATTGTGAAAAAAAATTTTTTTGAGGAATTAAAAACGCAACAAGAAACAATAATAAAGGAGGTTGACGCGACATTAAAATATTGTTTTAAATAAAACTGATGATACAAGTTTAAAAAATAAATGATTGAATAGCAAACTTGAATAAGAACTTCCAAGTTTAAAAATCCATTTATCTTTAATTATTTTTCCTTAATGAATAGACTACCGTCAATTAATTAGATAGTTCTTCATGCCAGTTAACTTATGGCATGTGGGCTTGGTCTACACAATAAAAACAACGAAACACTTTTGAAATCATTATAATTACTTTTTTATTTGAAATAACAAACAAAACATGTGTGATTTCATATCTCAAACTTCCCGATTTCCTTTTCCTCTTAATAGTCACACTGAAAACACTTTCGTAAGGACTTGAAATTCGAGGCTTATTTTCAGATATCCAACTTTTCCCGGTTGCTGAGAGTGGCTATATCCAAACACAATGTTTATAACGACGTCATCAACGGAAGTAACGCATCACTCGGCGCACCTGCGTTTTAACCATTCCGCCAAAGTAGTTCTTCAATTCCTTTACACATTTCTACATATTTTCGGACACGAATGATTAAAATAGATACATCTCATTGAGAAAAATGCTTTTTGACGTTCACTTTATACAAGTATAGCTCACGTTAGATAAAATACGAAGAGAATAGTCACCATTTTGTTGAAATGTCCATCCGCGTATGAATGCTAATACAAGTAGTCCGAGAGGAAGAGAGGCCAAACCGACTTGACAGTGAACATAAATTACTGCTGAATTTTGATCAATTTTAAGCATCAACTGCGATCAGTTTGGGACTAGAAGAAGAGAGGAGAGCGAAGGATAATGTACCAATTTCGTGTTCGGTCCCTGGTGGCCGTTCTGCTCTTGATTGGATTATGTAGCGGCGGAAAGGTACGTGAAATTGCAATGCTGACAAAAAATGTGTACGAGGTCAAAACTTGGCCCCCTTCCATTTGTGGCCTAGCCTTTAAAAAAACCCTTAATTAACTACTTATCAGATAAAGACCAACCAATACCTTAAACTTTGAGTAATGTTGATCTTTAAAGAACCTTGATATATATTTTAGAGGTGTCTTATTAATATGATAAGGGTTGATCAGGAAAGGGTCATGAAGGATGCGCTGTGGCATGTTTGAGAACTTGTGTGAGTGACTCAGAGCGAGAGAGGGGAAAGCGTGGGGGACCTTTGTACTTGGCCTATCTCACTCATGGTCTTTAATTGTTGGTTGAAACACTTATGATAAGGGCTTGACTGTCTTGGTCAATATTGTAAAGAAATTGAGTAAATTTAAATATTATTCATGCTATTCAAATGTACGTAGTTTAACAACCTTCCATAAGTTTTACCTGAGTATATCTTTCAGTTGTATTATAAACCCCAAGTTACAAAAAATTAGTATCTAAAATTTTAATTGTCTAGTTATTAGGTTGGAGGCCAAAACTTTAATGAGAAAGAGGATATGACTGATGAACTCCATAATGGAATCAATAATTACCTAGAAAGAGGATGAAATGACATCAGAATTGACTTCTTCACTGTCTTAGAATTTTTAAGCACATAAAAGGCAGTCAAATAAATGTAGACATCAAAGTTCACATCCTTTTTATCGACATTGATTCATTTATATTACCTGCATAACATGCTTTCCCAGTCGACTTAATGCCTAACTGTATAATAGTAAGCCATTGTTTTTGTAATTGACCCAGAAAAACCCAAAATTGAATTTCACTCGAGAGTTAATGAAATCAACATCCCTGAAGCTGGAGTGAACAGAAAGGCCTGTGACTCTGTACATTTCAAGGTAAATGGTTCAAAGCCGTGTCTTCCTGCCAACACAAACCAGACTCTTCGCAGTGGCATAGCAGGCTGTGCTATTGATTCTTACCTATGTAAAAACATACAGTCTGGCTGACTGTTTTGCCGTGTTTCTACCTAAGTCAGGCCGGTCTTACTTTACACACCTAACCTCAGTAGACTGTCTTGGCACATTTAAGGGCACCACAGTTGATAAATTTAATGGTTAGTTACTCACCTCCAATATAATTGGATTGGCAGTTGGATTTGTAGTCTCAAACTGTCTGTGAAGATACAATTTTAAAAAGACCACTGATTGTGTCGTGTGGTACTGAGATAAGCAGGTTTAACCTAGATGAAAACACACCAGGTACATTGGGCTTTTAAGCATCTGTGTAAATATGCTTTACAATACAAGCCTTGTGTAGAAAGAGCATGTAGGAGGGAAATGTATTTTATTGCCAATTTTCAACATTTTTTTCTTCTCAAATGATGTACACTTTAGGTCAAGACATTTACGTGGGTTCCACAAGTTACTTATCTTCTAAATTCACTTGTATTAGATTCTATTCCACAAGCTAGATTTTGTTTGTACTGAATATCAACTATTAAGAGTTGGGGTCTCAGCAGGATAGTTACAAAAATATCTTCATTCTCCACCTTTGATTTTTATTTTCATGTTTTATAAATTAGAAGGTCAAAATCAGACATTTCTAGCATTTAACGTTCCATTAACTTGGCATCCAAGGAATGTTTCACGAGTAGGTTTTAATACATTGATTGAGATGTGCAGAAAAAGATCTGAATTTAAAAAAAAATAAGCTTCAGGGGGTTCATATGGGTACTTCAGGACAGGTAGATGGATTTATAAAGGACCTATTCAGCCACACCTACTAAGCGTAACTATTAATTCCTTGTCTCCCGTGGAGTGATATCAATATGTGCAATGCCCCTCTTGCTGTTCTTATAATTAAACTCTACAGCATATTGAGGATATTCATGAATACTTCCCTGCAAGGATCTTCTTACTAAGGAGAACAAAGGAATTCCTGCTTGTTTTTATGGAAAGTGGGAGACTCCCGTTCACATCAAGACAGACTTAGTTTGGAAATTTGGATCTGATGTCCTTAATGCCTTAAAATTTAATTTTGAAGCAGCTTGGTGGACTAAGATTAATATGTTACAGACAGATAGCTGGGAAGATTAACAATTTTTGAATGAGGACTAACAAAAGTGTTCAATACTAATCATAGGAAAAAATACATCACAGGATCAGTTCTGTTAAAGAAGAGGATATAGAAAATTGTGATGGAATTATGTCATATTTCTGGACCTGTTAAGAAGGAAGTATGTCGGTGTCGCAAAGTGATCGGTCTTTGTTCTGTGTTTATGTAATTTATAGGAGTTGGTTGCTGTCTTTGTACACACCCAGACTTGTTATACAGGATGGAAAATTAAGGAGAGACCTTGTTTCCTCTATATTGTTCTTCTTTTCTTCTCACAAAAGATAAGAAACTGAAGATAAGTAATTGTTTGTGTTTTTAAATTTTCCTGTCTTCATATAGTCTTAACATTGAATGGAGTTGAGAAGCATTTATTATTGACACTCTCAAAAGGGAGGGACAACCTTGAAGCAGGAGCCATTTGTTAAAATGAAATAAATCAAGGCGATGCAGCAGGAAACCTAAACAAGGAAGGAAAAACAGTTTTTTACTTTCAACATGACTACTGCCATTTGGAAAGTGTTTTCAGATTGCAGTGTAGTCATCTGATGTGGGCTGAAAGAAAAAAAGAAAAGAATTCCTAACACTCTGGTAGGCCAGTCGTTTAGAAATTTATACAAATTCAGATGCAGTTGGACCTCTGTTACTCAGCTTTCAGTTTTATCCGCAGATCTGGCTTGAGCCAACACTTGGCTGTAAATATTAGTAACTCCAGTTTTCATTTTGAAATACATACTAGTAAATATAAAATATATAAAGCTATCCGTCTTCACCAGAGTGCAGTCTTGCACAGTATTCTTCCTTCTTTTCATAATGCATCCCCAGTTCTGTCAACGCCTTTGGGACCTTGTAATCCAGTAGAGGGAAAACTTACAGATAATTCCTATTCAGTGTATCAGCCTCCCAGAGGAGCTGTGCGTGCTTGGCTTATACCAGACTGGATTACATGCTTCAATGGGTTTCAGCCTGGGAGAAGTTGGCCCCATTTATTCGGCTCCTTCTTTTTCATTCATAGTTCGATCGGGGTTGAATCGACCTGGAAATTATGCTGCGTATGTTTCCTATTTGGAATCGTGGTACTTTGGTGTCAACGACATTGATTTAGATTATGGCTTACTATCTAGGTCCTCAGCATGAAGTTCAACTAGACATTTGATGTATAGCAATCACCTTTGGCTATTTTCCCCAAACTGTTTTTTTTTCTTTATCTGGAGTGGTTGTCAGGTTTGTCAGAAATGGATATCGTCCAAGTCTCAAGGTGCACCACTTCACATTTCTCCTTGGGTTTGCCTCTCTATTGTGTTTGTTCACAGTAGGATTATAATGCGCTCACAACAGCAATGAATACCAAAGTGGAAAGTGGCTGGTGGCGGTTTAGGAAAAAAAATGAAAATCAAAAAAGCATTGTTAAGGGCTACTTAACACAATTTTTTCTCCCACAGTAATATAGTTTTCTTCTTAAAACAACTTCTGGTTGTCTGTGTAATTAAAGTGGACCATTTTCATTCAGATTTCATACAAATTAAGGGTCAAATTCGTAAAAACATTGTATTTTATATCCTTCGGTAAAACTAAAATGTGATGTATTAGGCCATTAGTTCTTATCCTCTCTGCTCATATTAAAGGTACAGGTTCTCAGGGGAAAACGACAAGTTATCTCTGGAGGAGAGCCCTCTTGGCTGTGATATATTTATATCTCACATGATTACAGTTAGTTGTGTGTGTCCTTGTAGGATAACTTAGACATGTAAATTGGCTCTGCCAATGTTACGTATGCTTTATTGATGGTATAAATTGAATTAAATGCACAAGGGAACACCAAGTACTAAAGGAACAACAGGGACACTGGTATGGAGTTTTTTCCTTATCTTGAATTTTTACTCATTTTCTGATGTCATTGAATTTTATGATTAATCATGTTGATGAGTTTTGAAGGGGCGTTTTTCATAAAATCAGCCCAACGGGAATAAAATTTTGCTTCAGAAATTATTTATGCCCCCATAAGCACAAAAAGCATCTAGGTATTAGAGGACAAAAACTTGTTTCCTTGTGCCATGGGGCTATTTGATTTTGCTTCAAAGAGTGAATGAATTTTATGAAATGGGAATTAAGTGTTCCCGAAGGTTGATAGACCTTAAAAACAGATGTTACAGAGAAAGGGGAGGAAAAAGTTTGCCTTTTGAAGCCATTAGAACATTTTACGCAGGGTTGGAGAGCTAGGCTAAAGTGTGCTTCAAGTGTAAACATTCAGATTTTTTTTTCTGATGGTGCCGCTCAGCCCAATTCTTTGTTATTCACAAGAATTGAGGTCAGTTTTCTCTTTTGAAAGGCAAAAGCTTGAAATGTCAGCACTTACACAAACACGGGCAAACATGGAATTGTTCGAAGACAGGAAACTGTCAGTTATTATCCACAGAGGAAGGGTCTAAGGGCGAAGAGATGTGTGGTTGAAAACAGGAACTGGTAAATCGTCCAATCCAACGTAGTTGTCATGACCCATGAGAAAAGGTTAAAAAAACAGTGCATACTTCAGCGCTAATATTGCCCAATGTTGGTCGTAGTTTATGTCTGGTTATGAAGGATGGTTTACCAAGTACAGGGTGGATGTGGCTAACCAAAGGTCTTAAATTGTTACGTTTTGTGTCGCGTATGCTAACACCAGGATGCGGACTCACACATGCATTTTAAACACAGATTTTCTGGAGTCTATTTATGAACCAAAATTACTAGATTTTTTGTTAAGGTAATGCCGCTGTACCAAAAAAAAAAAAAAAAAAAAAAAAAAAACTTGACTCCCCTAAAAGGTGACTCCCCAGTCAGATTTTCATTATGAAAATCTGACTCCTATCTGTATATGGTTATTCTGTAAATTT